TACGTGCGTTTCACGTGGCAGGCGTGGCGCAATCTCACATCCACCTTCGTTTTGCGTGGCAAGCGTGGCACTCATGGCACTGGGTGGCGCGCTTGGGCTGGATTTAGGCGCCCGTGACGCCGCAGCACTTTGTGTGGCAGGCGTGGCACTTGGTGACATCGACGTGCGTTTCACGTGGCAGGCGTGGCACAATCTCACATCCACCTTCGTTTTGCGTGGCAGGCGTGGCACTCATGGCACTGGGTGGCGCGCTTGGGCTGGTTTTAGGCGCCCGTGACGCCGCGGCACTTTGCGTGGCAGGCGGGGCACTTGGTGACATCGACGTGCGTTTCACGTGGCAGGCGTGGCACAATCTCACATCCACCTTCGTTTTGCGTGGCAGGCGTGGCACTCATGGCACTGGGTGACGCGCTTGGGCTGGTTTTAGGCGCCCGTGATGCCGCGGCACTTTGTCTTGGCGTTGTTTAGAGGTTGCTTGGTTGCTTTTTTGTGGCTGTGGTTGTGTTTCTTGTGTTTCCAGTTGTGGTTGTTGTTGTGGTGGTGGTTGCTGTGGTTGCGGCTATGGTTGTGATTGTTGCGGTTGTGGTTGTGGTTGTGGTTGTGGCGGTGGTGGTGGTGGTGGTGGTGGTCGTGGTGGTGGTTGTGGTGGTGGTGGTGGCGGTTGTTGTTGTTGTTGTTGTGGTGGTTGTGGTTGTGGTTGTGGTTGTGGTGGTGGTGGTGGTGTTTGTTGTTGTTTGTTTGTTTGTTTGTTTGTTTTTTGGTTTGTTTTTTGGTTTGTTGGTTTGTTTTGTTTGGTTTGTTGGTTTGTTTTGTTTGGTTTGTTGGTTTGTTTTGTTTGGTTTGTTTGGTTTGTTTGTTTGGTTGTTTGTTTTCTTGTCTCACTGTTTTTCGTTGTCATTGTTTTTGTTGTTGTTGTGGTGGTGGTGGAGTCACAAGTCAATATCTTCGTCGGTCCAAACAAACTTTGAAATGGCTAACAGCACCAAAACCCTTTCAGCTAGGTTTGAACTGTATAATGATTTGTTGATGGGACGCAAGCTTTTCATATGCAGTGTACTTCCTGATCAGTGCATCTAGAAGCCCGGTTAAATCGAATCTTTGGATGAACTTGCCCCTTCCTTTGATAACCTTGATCCTTTAAAACGGTGGTGGCTTCAGTTTGTTGGTGAGTCATATGAGTTATAGCTTCAAATTGGGATGCCGATGCGGCGAGACCTCATGGGAGAAGCACCTCTGTTTTTGCACAGCGAGCGGGCATCTCAAAGCTTCGCTTGGCAACTGCAGTTGGGACTTCAAGTCAGAGCGCCCATCCGTGAGGCTGAGTGTATTGAACACAAGTTGCATGGCATACAGGATTGATCAGACTGAAGGAAACAAAAAATGGAGATAGACGGCAAACTTTGACAGCCTCACAGCCGCGCCGCTGACTTTCAAAATTTCAGCGGTGTCCTCATTCAAGCTCTTACCATGGCAAAGAAGATGCGTCGCTCTTCTCTCCGCCATCTTCGTCTTCGTTTTTGTCTTTCGTCGTTTTGCGTGGCTTTTTCGGAGCTGGCTCTTCGCCCTCCCTTTCAACGGTGCCCTCACTCGCGCCAGCTTGCTGGCCAGTTTTCGGCTTTGACCTCTTCTTCGGTGCAGGCTTGGGAGTGGGCGTTTTGGTCTCTTCGGTGCGAGGTTCGGCTACACATTCTGGTCTGTAGTGCGAAGACCCCTCTTTTTTCATTCCACTCAACACGAAGTCAGTCAACACCACTTCAACCTTGCGAGCGTGCCGTTCAGACAGCGCTAGCCCCCAGTAAGGTGTTCTTTCCAGCACACAGGCTTTCGCCAGGCTTGCCTGGCCGACAGAAAGATCTATCCTTGGAAATTGCTCACGCGGGAAATGAAAAATATAAGACATCATATAGTCGTTATAGTTGAAGGGGTGAAAGCACATGAAAAAACATACTTCTCAGAGCAAGAATCACTGCGCGGCACGAATGTCCCTTGATAAGGTCGGAATAGAAGCTGACCGGAAGAAGGGCGGCAGAGAAGATCGATTCGGAGTCTTCCTGCTGCTTGGTGCCGCACTCTTCCAACTTGGCTTCCTTCTTGGCCTGGGCTACCTCAGTAACCTCCACTGCGCGGTCTGGGCTGAGCAAGTCGACCTTTTCAGTCCTCAGGGTTTCAGTTTGAACATTAAATGCTGATCCTGAGAATCTTTGTAAATGGCAATGACACACACACACATACATACATATATATATATACACCTATATATATACATAAACATATATATATATATATACCTATATATATACATAAACATATATATATATATACATATATATATATACATATATATATATACATAATCATATATATATGCATATATATATACATATATACATATATATATATTTATTTATACATTATATAAATATATATAATACTATAATACACAATGAATCTGAAATGCTGTTCAAAGTCCTGCTCGCGTGCCACAGTTCTGAGGCTTGCATTGCCTTGACGGGCCCAAAGACATCGCTGGTGCAATAGCCCTTGTGATGTTGGTATTGCTTTTCCGGAATTGCTTGGGTCAAGCAATGATGTGAAGCAAGGTGATATGTGGAATAGGTCGAGTATGAGCCTCTGGAACGCTTCTTCCTGCTTCGCATCGAGTCATCGTCATACGTGACGAGCAGCTGCTTGATTTCAGCATCCATGTCGTCCTTCTTGGCGGTTGCCAAGCGGAAGACACTCTGGCACATAGCCCCTGCCCTGTCCATCCCTGCGTGGAGGGCCACCACATCTCCCTCGGGAACATTGGTGGCCTCCCCCTCTTCTGTGCGACGCTGCGCACCTCGCCCCAGGAGGGCACCCTGCACTAGTTTACGCATTAAACCAATGTCGGGCTGGAATTTTTTTGCGGAGCGACTCTTGACAGTTTGGGCCAATGGTTTCACCGAGCAGGTCCACGTCCAGATGGATTAGAACGGAATTCTCACCCACCACTCCTCGGATGTCCTTGGCCGTGCTTTGCTGCACAGCCGACGCCACTCCATCCAATGACTTCGGCTCCACCTGGATGGAGCAGTAGGTCCGAGTCACCTGGTTGGCAACTGCGCGCCAGTCTTGGTGTTGTTTAGAGGTTGCTTGGTTGCTTTTTTGTGGCTGTGGGTGGTGTTTCTTGTGTTTCCAGTTGTGGTTGTTGTTGTGGTGGTGGTTGCTGTGGTTGTTGTTGTTGTTGCTGTTGTTGTCGTCAGGTTCGTGGTTCGTAATTGTTAAGTTTGCTGCTGTTGTTGTTGTTGTTGTTGTTCTTGTTCTTGTTCTTGCTGTCTTTTTGTCTTGCTGTCTTGTTGTGGATTGTTGTGGATTGTTGTGGATTGTTGTGTGGGGTTCGTAGCGCCCCAGGGGGGCTGCCACATCAAGCAAACGCCTTCTCTACTTCTAGCAGCAGGTGAGAAGAGTTGAGGTGAGGTGAGGCATCAGGTGAGAAGAGTCGAGAGGAGAAGAGATGAAAAGCGATGAAAAAGAATTGAGGTGAGGTGGAAAGAGATGAAAAAAATGAGAACAGTTGGGAAGAGTTGGGAGAAGAATTCACATGAACTGAGATGGTCTGAGAAGAGCTGCAAAGAGCTGAGAAGTGGTGGTCACAGTTGAAAAGGGCTGAGGCAAGATCAGAACGAATTTTCAGAGCAGAGTTTCGAAGACGTGAGGCTTCACTCCAACTCCTATAGGCAAACGTTGTCTTTCCTATAGTATAACAGTCTTTGCTGCTGGAAACTTCCGCCAGCCGCCTCGTGCGGGTTTTGCTTGTATTCTGTGATATTTCCAAATTTCAAAACAGAAGTGGGCATACAAAGAGACAGGAGTGCGAAACCAGATGTTGACAGTGTTGACCGCATATCTTTTATTTTTCACTATTTGTTTTGCATCTGTCAAGGTTGTGGTGCCGATTTTTCCGAGCTTGGAATTGGGAGTCTAGCATCGGTCGCAATCGTAGTTTTTGGTTCAGGCTCAGACCAGTGACAACATTACATAGCCCCGACTGTCATGGCTCGCAGACCTGAGTCGGAGCTGGACAAATTCCAGTGGTGGGTCAATGTGAACACCTCAGCCCGAGAAGCAGTTATCGCCTTAGACGATCTGGACGACCTTTTGGCAGAAAATCCTGGGCCGGAAGCTGACCTTGACTGGGCAGAGTGCAAGCGTGACCTGGAGAAAGCGAACAACAAGCTTCGTGCAGTGTGGGACCACATTTCACGCGTGTGCGAAGAGGAAAAAAATGCGTTGGAAAACAAGCTTCGGCATTCTGATGCTGAGGCATCAGGAAACGCTGGGCGCACATGTGCACTTCTGGCAGAAGGCAACGCCGAACGCGGCCAAGCTGCTGTGGCTGAAGCTGCCGTTCGCTTGACAGACAATGTTTCTGCTGCGGCAGATTCTGTCAATGTTGGACTCATCTCTGAGCACCCCCGAGTCCAATGAAGATGAAAGCTTGGGTGCCATTCTTGACAAGGGGCCATAATGGTTGAGTTTTTAGAAATATATATGTGCATCGCGATGCCGCTGGCGGGATAAAACGCAGATTTTTTTTTCGCTGTAATAGTCGTAAGCCAGGGCTTGAGTTAGGTTTGTGGCAGGTCATTTAATTATTAAGGTTTGAGCCTGCGGGCTTTTATGTCGCTTGAGAGCGGGCCTGCGGGTCAGTGCCTGCGGGCCAGGCCTGCGGGCCAAGGCATGCGTGCCGTAGCCTGCGGGCTGTTAGCTAATAAAAGGCAGCAGGCTCATTGACTTTAAAGGGGAATTATGACTTCTTAGCATGGTCTTGCATGTCCCGTGACAATCACTGCTTTCCTTTTGATTTGCCTGCACATTCTGGCTTATTGAAATTAGGGGGTGACAAATTAATGGCCACATGTTGAACACACAAGAATCAATCACGGATCATTATTCTTCACGCAATATTGGATTTAATATGGCATGGTTCATTTTATTTCAGTTTATCACAAGGCGCCATGGGGAAGCCAACGCTTCTTCCTTCGAAACTGGTTAGCCAGCACAGTCGGTCTTGCACTTTGAAGCCTGGCCGCTGCGGGTTGTGTCATTGGCACAAGGAGAAGGACAGCTGGCGGAAGCGCTTGCGGAATGCGAAATGGCTGCAAGTGACTTTGAAAGGGAAAGTGGCAAGGGTGGGCTGTGCAGCTTGTGCTGCTTTTGACGCTGGAGGCCCCTGGGCGAACTTTGACTTAAAGCCGACAGCTTTGAGACTGCACTGCTTGAAGCGGCATGAAGACTCCAAGGGTCACAAGTTGGCAGAGCAAAGCTTCCAGCATGGGACGAACTCGCGGGTAAATCTGTTGGCGCCGCCTCTGTCGGAGTTCCGGGACGCTTGGACAAAGATGCAACAAGGTGGAAGTTGCAGAGATGGAGGTGTGTCTTCCGACAAGAAGACCAACATACGCTGGTCCATTTCCGAGGCAATACTGGACATGAATCGTCACTGGCTGAAAACAGCAAAAGTAATTGCTCTCTTGAGGGACGAGCGTAAAGGCAGGCTTCTGATAAGGTTCCGAGCATGTCTTCCAGACCTGAGGGTCGTTCAGGGAGTGCTTGGCCTTAAGCCCACCGAAGGCTTTTCCGAAAGCTTGGCCAACTGCACTGTCGAAGCCATCCATGATTTGTGCCAGCCGATGCTCCACCCTCCCCGTTCCTGCCTTGACCCGGAGCTTCCAGCATACGATGACTCGGTCGAGAAGAGGATCCGCGAGCGGACTACCATTTTGGTAACCGATGCAGCTTCTGCGGAGCAGCTGGCGTCCAATGTCTTGCGAGGCAAACGCCCATCTGCACTGACAGGTGAATGTGAAAAGGAGCTGCCGCATGTTAAGATAGTTGGCCGTGACATTGCGCATGCGAGCACCCGCTTGCTGAAGAGACCTTTCCAAAAGCACGCTGAGCTAGAGGCTATAATGGATGAGTTCATCTCAGGAAAGGACAGCTTCTGTCAAAAGGTGCAGCATAGTCCACTGTACACCAAGTGGTGGAATGAAATTCTTGAAAAAGATGGGAAGGGTACAGAAGAAGGAGGAACTGGAGCCAGCATGGCTGCTGCGAAGCATCGCTTCGGAAGCTATGCTCATCCCCTGTCACGGGTGACAAAAAACATGAGGTGTGTGCTGACCCTCTTGCATAAGATTGCATTGCTTCGGGATTCGTCAGGCCGTTGGGCGTCCCAGATTCTGACACATTTTTCTGGCTACAAAGCTATCCTGCTTTCACTCTGTGCAGATGCCGCGGCAACGTCCATGGACTTCACTCGCTTCTGCGACGACGAGCAGAGCGACATCTCCCTTCTCAACACCAAAGCGCAGCAGTTTCTCTTGAGTACTCACGCATTGTTTCTTCAGGAAGAGGCATTCACTTTGCCTACCTTTGCAAAAGATTTGCTGGATTCTTGCACACGGGCCCCTTTCAGCATTCTCATTGCTGGACAGGCAAGAGAAGTGCGAGTTCGAGACTGTGACAAGCGTCGGGCTATGAACGTTATGAAAGAATTTTGGAAAGAATTTGCGTTTCACATCGGTCCATATTTCACATGAGAATTGAATATACATTACATCAACATGTATTTTTTCAATGCATTTACGGATTATTACTAAAACTTTGTATGACATACTTGCTTTTTAATTAACCAGTCTACATCCTTCGTCGCCAGGAATGGGTGTGTGGGGCAGAAGCAACTCTGAAGGCCGAGTTTCCGTCGTGGCACCTCATTGGCGCTTTTGATGTCTTTCATCTCGGCGGGAGCATGAGTGACAGCGACAAGTGCACTGTAGAGAAGAGTCTGGCGCGTCTGGCGTGCGCCTTCGGGGTGAACCTGGCAGACCTGACGCAACAGTATGTTGCAATCCTGCCTATGGCCCAGGCAATGAAGAAGAAGACAGGACAAGACAATCGCACGGCGTGGGCGAACGTTTTGTTGCGCATACGAGATTCTCGTCTCAAGGGGAAATATCCTCAAGATGCTTTATATCGCGTCGCTGGGACAAGTAGTAGGAATAAGTTTTGGTTTAATTTTATGTTAGTCGATTTTTTACAATAGCCTTGACATCATTGGCAATCAATTGTTCATGACGATTCTTCATCAGGTCGTTTGCGCCTTCTTGGCATGGTCAGCGTCCAGTTCCGGCGTTGAGCAGCTCTTTTCAAAATTGAAACGATCACCAGTGGAATTGGCAAGTGCCCAGGCAGATACGGACCGAAGGGTCTGTGCTGCCATGGGGTGCACTCTGGACCAAGCGCAGGAAAAGGAAATGCTGCAGGAAGCTCGAGCCATCTACACACGGCTGAGCCAAAGCGGCAAGTCCCGGTCTTCTGAGGGCAGGAGGAAGCGGTTAGATTTCGGTCGCAAAGGTCCAATGAGACCGTCATCCCACAAGAACTGGATGCGAAAACAAAAGGAAGCTGTGGAGGAGGCTGCGGCTCAGTTGATTACGCCTCCCCGGAAGATTTCTTCACATGATTTGCCTGAAAGTTCTCGAAAAGAAGTGGAGCAACAGAGTCGATTGGAGAAGAAGCGAAAAGCTGAGGCTTATTCTGATGGCTTGCTTTTGAACTCCGAGGTGACAGAAGCAGTAGTTGCTGAGGCTCAGAAACAAAGGAAAGCAGACGCTTCCAATGACCGGGCTCGCAAGTCCAATTTTCACAGCAGGCACGCTGCAGTGGAAGCCAGCATCACCAAGAAGACTGTGGCATGGGCGCTGAAGGGATTGCCCAGCCCGGCTTTAAACACTGACGCGGCGAAGGATTGGACTAGCCCATTGAGACAGTGTGGTGTATCTTTGACAGGCGAACCTTGGCTGTACCTGGTTTTATTTAAAGCATTCACATTAATTTAAGCAGTCACATTTGTAAAGAATATCATCACAAAGATGTGGTTCTGTGGCTTCAGACACTAAGGATCTGAGGCAAGCGTCTCTTTTGATCATACCGGACATCAACACGATCCCTCGGAAGCATCAACTCATGGCAGCCTTGTTCGGTAAGGTCATTTTGTCTGCGGCAATTCTTGACGGTGGAAACGGAGTGAAACTGTCATACAGTGCTGGAAGTCAGCTTGGTGTGTTCGTTTACGTGACTGATGGATTTCGAAATCAAGAGCCTGGCTTGACCATGATTTTGCGCGAAGCGTGCGCTCATGGGTGGAAGGCTGTGACAATGAATGACTTGCAGGCTCGGAGCAAAGGGCCCAAGAATTCCTGCTTGCTCTTACGGGCAAAAGGGGAGGCACTGAATCTGGGCAAGTCCAGGATTCAGTGTCTTGATGGCAATGAGCTAGTTGCCTGGGCTGCTCAGAAATTTGTAGATGTCAAGTCAAGTGCCTGGATCAGCACTGGCACAGCTTGCGGGGGACTTTGACTTCGCCTGGCAAGACCCTGGCGGGAGACAATTTGTCATTCCAAAACCTGCTGGTATGGGGTATTAGTCCGGCGGGAAAAAAGATTTCGACAGTACTGATCATTGTTGCAAGTTTGCATATTCCTTTTTAATTTTCTGGGGATGCCTAAATCCACACACTCTGCGCGCTTGCCATTGCTAAACCCTAAATCCACAAAGCTCGGCGCTGGCTAAACCCTAATTTTTTTCTCTTGGAAGCCTGTACCAAAAACTTGAATTCGGCGCGCGAACCGCGCGCCTAGCCTAGGCGCCTAGTGAAATATATCAATAGCATTTACAGGAAAAGAATTTAATTCAGATTTCTTGCAGGGATACATTTTTCTCTTGGAAGCCTGTACCAAAAACTTGAATTAGGCGCGCAAACCGCGCGCCTAGCCTAACCGCGCGCCTAGCCTAGGCGCCTAGTGAAATATATCAATAGCATTTACAGGAAAATAATTTTATTCAGATTTCTTGCAGAGATACATTTTTCTCTTGGAAGCCTATACCAAAAACTTGAACCGCGCGCCTAGCCTAGGCGCCTAGTGAAATATATCAATAGCATTTACAGGAAAAGAATTTTATTCATATTTCTTGCAGAGATACATTTTTCTCTTGAAAGCCTGTACCAAAAACTTGAATTAGGCGCGCGAACCGCGCGCCTAGCCTAGGCGCGTGGTTCGCGCGCCTAGCCTAGGCGCCTAGTGAAATATATCAATAGCATTTACAGGAAAAGAATTTTATTCAGATTTCTTGCAGAGATACATGTTTCTCTTGGAAGCCTATACCAAAAACTTGAATGCGCGAACCGCGCGCTTAGCCTAAGGAAATATATCAATAGCATTTACAGGAAAAGAATTTTATTCAGATTTCTTGCAGAGATACATTTTTCTCTTGGAAGCCTGTACCAAAAACTTGAATTAGGCGCGCGAACCACGCGCCTAGCCTAGGCGCCTATTGAAATATATCAATAGCAGTGACAGAAAGAGAAATTTATTCAGACTTCCTTGGACAGATGATTTTTTTCATTTGGAAGCCTGTGCCAAAGACCTGATGACCGCGCGCCTATTGAGAGATTCAGAGACGCAGCTACCTTTTCAACATTTCCTCATTTCCTATGATATTATACGTTTCCTATCTTTGAAACTTCACTGCCGCGCCCGCTATTGCACCGTAGTCTTCATGACTTTGTTGTCATCCCTCTTGTTTTCATGAAAGGTTTGTGGACAGACACTGCAGTTGGGTCATTCTCACATTGCTAGCCATGCAGTTCAAGGCGGGGTAGCTTCGTAGATGCCATGCCTCGTTTCAAAGTGCTTTCCTCTCACACGAAAAAAAAGCATAGGGCCGAGGCTTCCCAAAGCCATACTGGCAACAATCAAATCAGGATTCGCAGCGCGGTTTCCCGCATCAATGACCTGGCAAAGACATGGAAAGCTCGGCTGGGTTTGTGGTCTCCCGCGGACTCCTCGGGCAAAATTAGATGTGCTTCGGACTGCTCCTATGGTTCAGATCTCATTGCTCTCAGGTTGTTCGGCCTTCAAAAACGGGTGGATTCTGTAATGACTTGCGAGTCATGCGGGGAAAAGATGATGCTGCACGATGCGGTGGCAGCTGCTTGTGGCATTGGCACACGCAAAGTTTCTCATTATGCTGACATCTGTGGGCGCGACAATGCTGCGGCACCCCGGGCTGATTTGTACACTGCCGGGTACCCTTGCCCATCATATTCCACGCTTGGAAAAAAACGTGGAGTTTTGGACGACCGAGGCTTCGTATCTCTGCAAGGTTTGATGTACATAGCAGAGAAACGCCCGCGGGCGATTATTTTGGAACAGGTCGCAGCCATATTGCAGAAGAAACACAGCAAAATTTTTCAATTCATGCAGAAAATTTTACGAGAGCTGGACTATCGTTTTGAGATCCGCGTGCTCAACACGAAGCAGTTCACAATCCCACATTCTCGGTCTCGTATGTACTTGATCGCCGTGGCGAGAGAGTCCCTAGTTCATGAGCTGTCCTTTCCACCGGCCAGGTCAGAACACGCGGACTTGCATGCCTTTTTGGAGAAAGACAAAGTCGGCACGGAAGTGCTTTCACTTCCATTCTACGAAGAGAAGTTAGGAAACCGTTTGTTTCAGAAAGGATACATACTAGACGTGGGCTCTTCGCAGCGCTTTCAAAGCGTCATGCCCAACCCCTCCCCATGCCTGACAAAGTCACGGCTCAAGGCCGCTGGCTACTACATACCAAAACTTCGGAGAAGGCTGACATTGGCGGAAGCCGCCCAGCTCCAAGGGGTGCCGCCTCAAATCCTTCAGGCCATGGAAGAGGCAGCCAAGCTACATCGCTTGCCGAAGAGGTCGGTGGATGAATCATTGGGAGATGCCATGTCCGTCAATGTTCTGATGTCCGTTTTAAGGCGGGCGCTGGATGCATGTGGGCTAACCGAATTGGGTTCCGGCAAAGACTTTTGGCTGCAAGTGCCATTGGGTGAGGCGAGCGTCAACTTGAGCAAGAAGCTCTTTGACAAGTACAAAAGGTGAGGGCAAAGACAGGATTTGTGATAAAAAATGGATGTGCAGTTTGTACGGCAAACCAAGATTTGGCGCGCTTTGTATCTCGGCTTCTGAGCATTACTGATTTCATGCAGTATCAATCATCATCATCGCCATCACCAGCATCAGCATCATCATCATCATCCTCATCATCATCATCATCATCCTCATCATCCTCATCATCCTCATCATCATCATCATCATCATCGCCATTTCCAAAACCATTGACATCATGGACACCATCATCATTTTCATCGTCATGATGTTCATATCCAGACCCAACACCATCATCGTCATCACGACATTAACCTAATGTCATGATGACGATGGTTTAACATATCATGGAACATACCGAATGCAACGGTTAAACGTCGCAACGGTTAAACGTCGCGACCAGTCGACAAAGTAGACCTTACCCGGAACCTGCCTGGGCAGCCGCTGGGTAAAGACTATGGGAACGTTGACGTGCTGTAACGTTCGCTTGGGTAACATGATGGGTTTTGCCCAGGGTGCTTACCCGGAGGCTGCCTGGGTTGCCACTGGGTAAGGGGTATGGGCACGGGGCTAAGGAATATGGGTTGCGTTGCAAGCGTCTATGGAACCTGGATTGCCCCATAGTCCTTACCCGAAGGCTGCCTAGGCAGCCTCTGGGTAAGGACCCTGGGCAACACCCATCAAGCTACCCGACCTAACGTTACGTTCGATGAGTCTCACGGGGTTACGGATTATCTTCTTTCTTAGTTGACAGTGGTTGTGGTTGTGGTTGTGGGGTTGGTCTGGTTGTTGTTGTTGTTGTTGCTGCTGTTGTTGTTGTTGTCGTCCTTGTCGTTGTCGTTGTCGTGGTCGTTGGTGTCGTCTTTGTCGTCTTTGTCGTCTTTGTCGTTGTGGTTGTGGTTGTCGTTGTGGTTGTTTTTGTTATTGTTGTTGTTGTTGTTGTGTTGTTGTTGTTGTTGCTGTTGTTGTTGTTGTTGGTGGTGGTGGTGGTGGTGGTGGTCGTGGTGCTGGTGCTGGTGCTGGTGTTGGCGTTGGTGTTGTTTTCGTCCTCGTCCTCGTCCTCCTTCTTGTCCTCGGTGCTGCTCTTGTTGGCGTTGGCGTTGGCGCTGTTCTTGCTACCTACTATGCTGGGTTTTGACAATCACAAGGACTTCGCAGGTTGTGCTTCTGGCGTTGCTGCCTCTAAGCGTTACCAATGGAAGAGTCGTCGCTGAGAAATAAAGACGACACAGAATGTGATCCCCATCATTGAGGAACGCTGTAAACAAAACGTGAAATAATTATACATACATACATACATACACACATACATTCATACATACATACATACATACATTTATACATACATACATACATACATACATACATACATACATACATACATACATACACATATATATATATATACATTCATGACCAATGCCGACGGTAGATGACTATACCTAGATGCTACAGTACATATTAAATATTAAATGTATACTATGCATGATGCGAGGACCGACGCAAGACTGCAGTCACTGATGCTTGGCTTTCAAAAAAGCTCATGTCCATTGCCCGTGTGACCTTTGACATTGTCACCTGGCGGCTTCCATCTTGCTTGACGCTCGTACCGCTGAATTTGATGTCATTTGACAGTGGCATTTTCAATACTTTTAGCATTTCGGCTTTTAACTTAATCACCAGGGTGTCCCGTCGAAAGTCATTTCCTCCTCATTGTCAATAGTAAGCAATGTCGGACGCTGCGGCTCCAAAGCTCAAGAACATAAGTTCATGGAAATTGAACAAAGCAGAAGAAGAACAGTTGAAAACCCGTGTGGCAAACGGGGAAGAGGAGCTGACTGTCAAAAGGGCCCTCCAGAAGTTGAAAGCGGAAGCGGCTTTGTCGAGAAAGACTGCCGCTAACGCGGTTGCTCAGAAATCTGCTCGGCAAAGTCAAGGGAGCGCAAAGGCCAAAGCAAAGGCCCCTGTGCCTTCCCAGGGAGACTCTGTGTCAGATGCTGAATTGAACGACGCGACGAACAAGCATTACTACGCTCTGGTCCAGCAGGACCTCGCAACGATCTTTGAACATTTTGGACCGCAGTTGGCAACCGAATTTTGTTTGCCGATTGGCTGCGGCCAAGAGAGCGGTGTCCAGGATGTATATGATCGTCAAAAGGGGATTACATCCCTGAAGCAGCACTCTGTCTACAGATGCAGCGTGTCTGCATTCTGGATCAACGCTTTGAGCAGTGCGACCCCAGGGGTCCCCATGAGCCGGAAGAGAGTTGAAGATCTGAGCGCTTTTCATTTTCCAGGTGCGCAGCCAAAATTCATGACGGATCGCATGATTGAAATCGCATGTTCAGAGGCGGATCTGACAGATGAGCCTCGGAATTTGCAGATGATCAGCCCAGAAGAACTTTTGCACAGCCTTTTGCACGCCTGTGCTTCGGCTATCAAGTGTCTTGCACCAAAGCTGTCATTTTCAATTCCCAACCCCTGTTTTGAATATGTTGTTTCGCGAAATTTTATACTGGCTATTTATTTTGTTGTTAATGATTTGCAACTGCAGGCTCTCATCAGCATTGGATAGCGCAGTGTGGGCCGAGCTGAGAAGCAAATGGAAATCTGTGTTGCTGAGCGTCCCGGCAAGTTTCAATGAGATTCAGCAGAGCGACTTGTGGAAAACAGCTTGGAACAAGCGGCAGGCCGTGGTCCAACAACACGAATCCCTCTCTAGGACAGCCTTGCAAAGTGCCATGGAAGTGGCCCAGCTGAAGGCGCTGATTGAATCTGGTAGCAGCTCGAAGCTAACACCTAGCCAGCTCTCTTCGGCTTTGTTGGCTGCAGGTCTTCAGCAGGTGGTGAGTGGGTCCGCGAAAGCCAAAAAGGATGATGAAGAATGTGGAACATTATCCGCAAATTTCATCAGCGGTGCCTTGAGTGTACAAAGAGTCGTGCTGAGTTCTCCCCGCTGTGTTGAACTCTTGCTTGATATGGAAGCCTCCTTCGGGACACAGAGCCCTTTTCACATGATGTCCAAATTGGCTTGCTTGGCAACGAAGCCTACCTCGGCGAAGACGCGGGAGTGGGTCTTGTCCTGTGTGCATGATTTTGTGATGCACGGGGACATGTCCCCTTCAGAGATCACCAAGGGAAGCTTGATGGGCACCAAGCACCACGTGGGCATTATCCAGCTGTGCGAATGCAAGTTGAAGGTTTCTGGCTTGCAATACCGGGAGGGATGGAAGTCGGAGCCGGCGTTGATGAATTTCATAGGAATAGAATCAGCTTGTTGATGTTCAATACTTTCATTCCAAACCACTCTTGCTTTGTCCTCACCACACACTATAATATCTACATTCCAATTAATTAGCACCACTAACGACGATAATAATGATAAGAATTCAAGTTCATGAAAAAAATACAAGGTGATGCCCCCCAGTTGTAAGTTGGTTTATAAACACCATTACCTATAGTTATATTCCCTATAGACCTTAATTAACCAAGTTATAAGTCAACTTAGCTATATTGTAGCCATAATAAGAGAACCCCATTTTTCATCTTTGACATGTCATCGAAACACCATCGATGAGCCCGCAGCTGACTGACCTTCAAAATCTGGCGCCGTGACCCCTGGAGCAGCCCCGTGGTCCTGCAAGGCGCACAGGGCAATTTTTCTGGGGGGGTAAGCAGTGGCGGAATGAAAAAAAAAACAATCGGACGGGGTCATAGCCTGCGGGCTTCGGTCCTGGGGGCATGCATCCGTGCATCACCGGGTTAAATGATTCTTGCGCCTGAGGGCGCGCCTGCGGGCCGAACTAGCCTGCGGGCTTTGAGCGCCTGAGGGCGGGCCTGCGGGCCGAACTAGCCTGCGGGCTTTGAGCGCCTGCGGGCGGGCCTGCGGGCCGAACAAGCCTGCGGGCTTTGACTGAGCGCCTGAGGGCGGGCCTGCGGGCCGAACAAGCCTGTGGGCTTTGACTGAGCGCCTGCGGGCGGGCCTGCGGGCCAGAAAAGAAGGTGTTAAGTTGGCGGACCGCCTGTTGTTTAATGGGTATAATATTTTTTTGCTCAAAATTTCAATGTAAGTTTTTTGTATTCCCTGGTCCTGGTCAGGTTCATGGCGACGAACAGCAAGGAGCTCGGCAAGGAGAAATCCCGCAGTCGTTCGCGACCCGAGTCCAGCGACAGCGGCAGGTCGGAGTCAGCTGACAAGAAGGCGGCACGACGTTCCGAGCGGCCGGCCTCGCCGGCAGGAGGACCTGAGCCTGCCCCTCCGAAAAATGAAAATGAGTTCAAGAATGACGACGAGGAGGACGAGCCTGACACGATTGAGTGCTCAGTGTGCAAGGGCACGATCCGTGGTGGAAAAGTTGGCATGCGCATGCATATCCAAAATTCCGCTAAGCACCGCCAGTACTTGATTTGGAACCGTGGTGGGATCCACTGGAATGATGCCGGGCTAAGGGCAAAGAAGGAGTTGAAGAAGGAGTGGAAAGAAAAGAAACCTCTTGCCCCTGCGGCGCCCGTTCATTTGAAAGAGGCTCGTGCTGCCCCGCGGGGCGACCGTGCGCGGTCCAAGGGAAGTCGTCGTGAGCTGAAAGAGGCTGATGCTGCCCCGCGGGGCGACCGTGCGCGGTCCAAGGGAAGTCGTCGTGAGCTGAAAGAGGCTGATGCTGCCCTGCGGGGTGACCGTGCGCGGTCCAATGCACGTCATCGTGAGCGCTCACGTGGTCGTCGTGGGAGCCGCGAACGCGCTCGTGACAAGCGCGTGCGCGAGCACCCTGACCGCCGGGAGCATGAGCACCGCGGGCAGTCCCGTGCTGCTGAGCCTGGGCCAAGCCGCCCACGACCGGAGGCTCCTGAGGCGCCTGAGTCTGCGGGGCGCCGCAATGATAATGACGGCAAGGATTCCCCAGGTAGCTCCGGCTACTCGTACTACACCTCTGATGAAGAGGATAAGGATGAGAAGCCGCAGCAGCCCAAAGTCCCAGCGGCCAAACCAAAGGTTGCGGCAGCCAAGATCGATCCGCCGCCCACAGCCCAAAAAAAAAAGGACTCGTCCGCAAGTTCGGGACAGACGTACACAAGTTCGGGAGAGGCGGACACAAGAATGACTGCCATGGCGGACTGGTTCCAAGCCCAGGCGCATTTCATTCGCAACATGACGAGTGTTGCGAAGGGGAAGCAGTGATGGGCTACAGCAGCTGCGGCTGCCAATCCTCGTGCCACATCAGCGTCGCACGACAAAGCGTCACAGGATTTTTTGGGGGCGTCCAGGCGTCCAGCTCTGACAAAGCAGCTGACTGTGTGCCAAAAAAGATTTGAGTTGTCCAAGCTCGTTTGGGCTTGGTGGATGAACATGTTTCAAGTGGAATTTCAGGAGTGTTGCGTTGCTGCTCTTAGATGCACCCCCACATAAGATTAAATATTTTGCATGCATTCATTCCACGTACATCACTCATATGTTGCGCAAAAACCACCATGGACAATCTGGGAGGCACTATCTTGTCTTACAGTTTTAGATGACCCCCCCACTAAAATGCATAAACACCACCATGGACAAAATGGTGGACATTGTCATCTGAAGCCGTAACGGTAAACGAACCCCAATAAGCTCAGGAGTGCAGCGTCCGACAAAGGTTTAATAGTCTTAGATACATGAACGCCTATTGGATTAAATATTTAGCATACATGTGTACGTTCCACGTAAATCATAAAATTTAATGTTACACAAAAACCACCATGGACAAACGGGGGGCACCACCACACCACGACTGCCATCGTACAAGCCCAGGTTTTGGAGCACCTCTTTGAGCAGTATCTTCCGAAATCTGGAGTGGTCGAAAGCGACCGGATGCTTCTCAAAGAGGTCCTGATGAGCCATTCAGAGTATCGTGCTCATTCTGGGAGTCAGGACTTGTGCTGGAAAGCTCGCTTGCACAAGTCTGGCATCGAGGTCTTTTCCTTGGTGGAGGCAGGCCTCTTTTCTAAAATGCTGTTTTCGGTTCCGCGGACATTCCAACTGCTTCTGTTTTAATTTGTTCCTCGCAGCGCATGCATGCAGGCATTGGTCTATGACAAAAAGTACGACAACTTCATTCGCTCCTCCTGTCGACACGGAGGCAGCGCAGAAGCTGTTTTGGAGAGTGAAACCATTGCCCAGGAGCTCAAAAAAATTCAAGACATATTGGCCAACGAAGAAGCTGAGCGCAAAGTTGCCGCAGGCATTGTGGAAGACAGTGAGCCAGAAGATGCCGAACTGGCTGACTCTGCGGAGCTTTTGAACATGAGAAAGGCGCCCACGACCTTTACTCAAGGAAGCAACGCCTACTGGCGCGCAGTTGCCAACCAGGTGACTCGGACCTACTGCTCCATCCAGGTGGAGCCGAAGTCATTGGATGGAGTGGCGTCGGCTGTGCAGCAAAGCACGGCCAAGGACATCCGAGGAGTGGTGGGTGAGAATTCCGTTCTAATCCATCTGGACGTGGACCTGCTCCGTGAAACCATTGGCCCAAACTGTCAAGAGTCGCTCCGCAAAAAATTCCAGCCCGACATTGGTTTAATGCGTAAACTAGTGCAGGGTGCCCTCCTGGGGCGAGGTGCGCAGCGTCGCACAGAAGAGGGGGAGGCCACCAATGTTCCCGAGGGAGATGTGGTGGCCCTCCACGCAGGGATGGACAGGGCAGGGGCTATGTGCCAGAGTGTCTTCCGCTTGGCAACCGCCAAGAAGGACGACATGGATGCTGAAATCAAGCAGCTGCTCGTCACGTATGACGATGACTCGATGCGAAGCAGGAAGAAGCGTTCCAGAGGCTCATACTCGACCTATTCCACATATCACCTTGCTTCACATCATTGCTTGACCCAAGCAATTCCGGAAAAGCAATACCAACATCACAAGGGCTATTGCACCAGCGATGTCTTTGGGCCCGTCAAGGCAATGCAAGCCTCAGAACTGTGGCACGCGAGCAGGACTTTGAACAGCATTTCAGATTCATTGTGTATTATAGTATTATATATATATATTTATATAATGTATAAATAAATATATATATATGTATATATATGTATATATATATATATGCATATATATATATGTTTATGTATATATATATATATAGGTATATATATATATGTTTATGTATATATATAGGTGTATATATATATATATATGTATGTATGTGTGTGTGTCATTGCCATTTACAAAGATTCTCAGGATCGGCATTTAATGTTCAAACTGAAACCCTGAGGACTGAAAAGGTCGACTTGCCCAGCCCAGACCGCGCAGTGGAGGTTACTGAGGTAGCCCAGGCCAAGAAGGAAGCCAAGTTGGAAGAGTGCGGCACCAAGCAGCAGGAAGACTCCGAATCGATCTTCTCTGCCGCCCTTCTTCCGGTCAGCTTCTATTCCGACCTTATCAAGGGACATTCGTGCCGCGCAGTGATTCTTGCTCTGAGAAGTATGTTTTTTCATGTGCTTTCACCCCTTCAACTATAACGACTATATGATGTCTTATATTTTTCATTTCCCGCATGAGCAATTTCCAAGGATAGATCTTTCTGTCGGCCAGGCAAGCCTGGCGAAAGCCTCTGTGCTGGAAAGAACACCTTACTGGGGGCTAGCGCTGTCTGAACGGCACGCTCGCAAGGTTGAAGTGGTGTTGACTGACTTCGTGTTGAGTGAAATGAAAAAAGAGGGGTCTTCGCACTACAGACCAGAATGTGTAGCCGAACCTCGCACCGAAGAGACCAAAACGCCCACTCCCAAGCCTGCGCCGAAGAAGAGGTCAAAGCCGAAAACTGGCCAGCAAGCTGGCGCGAGTGAGGGCACCGTTGAAAGGGAGGGCGAAGAGCCGGCTCCGAAAAAGCCACGCAAAACGACGAAAGACAAAAACGAAGACGAAGATGGCGGAGAGAAGAGCGACGCATCTTCTTTGCCATGGTAAGAGCTTGAATGAGGCCACCGCTGAAATTTTGAAAGTCAGCGGCGCGGCTGTGAGGCTGTCAAAGTTTGCCGTCTATCTCCATTTTTTGTTTCCTTCAGTCTGATCAATCCTGTATGCCATGCAACTTGTGTTCAATACACTCAGCCTCACGGATGGGCGCTCTGACTTGAAGTCCCAACTGCAGTTGCCAAGCGAAGCTTTGAGATGCCCGCTCGCTGTGCAAAAACAGAGGTGCTTCTCCCATGAGGTCTCGCCGCATCGGCATCCCAATTTGAAGCTATAACTCATATGACTCACCAACAAACTGAAGCCACCACCGTTTTAAAGGATCAAGGTTATCAAAGGAAGGGGCAAGTTCATCCAAAGATTCGATTTAACCGGGCTTCTAGATGCACTGATCAGGAAGTACACTGCATATGAAAAGCTTGCGTCCCATCAACAAATCATTATACAGTTCAAACCTAGCTGAAAGGGTTTTGGTGCTGTTAGCCATTTCAAAGTTTGTTTGGACCGACGAAGATATTGACTTGTGACTCCACCACCACCACAACAACAACAACAAAAACAATGACAACGAAAAACAGTGAGACAAGAAAACAAACAACCAAACAAACAAACCAAACAAACCAAACAAAACAAACCAACAAACCAAACAAAACAAACCAACAAACCAAACAAAACAAACCAACAAACCAAAAAACAAACCAAAAAACAAACAAACAAACAAACAAACAACAACAAACACCACCACCACCACCACAACCACAACCACAACCACAACCACCACAACAACAACAACAACAACCGCCACCACCACCACCACAACCACCACCACGACCACCACCACCACCACCACCACCGCCACAACCACAACCACAACCACAACCGCAACAATCACAACCATAGCCGCAACCACAGCAACCACCACCACAACAACAACCACAACTGGAAACACAAGAAACACAACCACAGCCACAAAAAAGCAACCAAGCAACCTCTAAACAACGCCAAGCAGTAGGCGTTGCTTCCTTGAGTAAAGGTCGTGGGCGCCTTTCTCATGTTCAAAAGCTCCGCAGAGTCAGCCAGTTCGGCATCTTCTGGCTCACTGTCTTCCACAATGCCTGCGGCAACTTTGCGCTCAGCTTCTTCGTTGGCCAATGTGTCTTGAATTTTTTTGAGCTCCTGGGCAATGGTTTCACTCTCCAAAACAGCTTCTGCGCTGCCTCCGTGTCGACAGGAGGAGCGAATGAAGTTGTCGTACTTTTTGTCATAGACCAATGCCTGCATGCATGCGCTGCGAGGAACAAATTAAAACAGAAGCAGTTGGAATGTCCGCGGAACCGAAAACAGCATTTTAGAAAAGAGGCCTGCCTCCACCAAGGAAAAGACCTCGATGCCAGACTTGTGCAAGCGAGCTTTCCAGCACAAGTCCTGACTCCCAGAATGAGCACGATACTCTGAATGGCTCATCAGGACCTCTTTGAGAAGCATCCGGTCGCTTTCGACCACTCCAGATTTCGGAAGATACTGCTCAAAGAGGTGCTCCAAAACCTGGGCTTGTACGATGGCAGTTGTGGTGTGGTGGTGCCCCCCGTTTGTCCATGGTGGTTTTTGTGTAACATTAAATTTTATGATTTACGTGGAACGAACACATGTATGCTAAATATTTAATCCAATAGGCGTTCATGTATCTAAGACTATTAAACCTTTGTCGGACGCTGCACACCTGAGCTTATTGGGGTTCGTTTACCGTTACGGCTTCAGATGACAATGTCCACCATTTTGTCCATGGTGGTGTTTATGCATTTTAGTGGGGGGGTCATCTAAAACTGTAAGACAAGATAGTGCCTCCCAGATTGTCCATGGTGGTTTTTGCGCAACATATGAGTGATGTACGTGGAATGAATGCATGCAAAATATTTAATCTTATGTGGGGGTGCATCTAAGAGCAGCAACGCAACACTCCTGAAATTCCACTTGAAACATGTTCATCCACCAAGCCCAAACAAGCTTGGACAACTCAAATCTTTTTTGGCACACAGTCAGCTGCTTTGTCAGAGCTGGACGCCTGGACGCCCCAAAAAAATCCTGTGACGCTTTGTCGTGCGACGCTGATGTGGCACGAGGATTGGCAGCCGCAGCTGCTGTAGCCCATCACTGCTTCCCCTTCGCAACACTCGTCATGTTGCGAATGAAATGCGCCTGGGCTTGGAACCAGTCCGCCATGGCAGTCATTCTTGTGTCCGCCTCTCCCGAACTTGTGTACGTCTGTCCCGAACTTGCGGACGAGTCCTTTTTTTTTGGGCTGTGGGCGGCGGATCGATCTTGGCTGCCGCAACCTTTGGTTTGGCCGCTGGGACTTTGGGCTGCTGCGGCTTCTCATCCTTATCCTCTTCATCAGAGGTGTAGTACGAGTAGCCGGAGCTACCTGGGGAATCCTTGCCGTCATTATCATTGCGGCGCCCCGCAGACTCAGGCGCCTCAGGAGCCTCCGGTCGTGGGCGGCTTGGCCCAGGCTCAGCAGCACGGGACTGCCCGCGGTGCTCATGCTCCCGGCGGTCAGGGTGCTCGCGCACGCGCTTGTCACGAGCGCGTTCGCGGCTCCCACGACGACCACGTGAGCGCTCACGATGACGTGCATTGGACCGCGCGCGGTCACCCCGCAGGGCAGCATCAGCCTCTTTCAGCTCACGACGACTTCCCTTGGACCGCGCACGGTCGCCCCGCGGGGCAGCACGACCCTCTTTCAAATGAATGGGCGCCGCAGGGGCAAGAGGTTTCTTTTCTTTCCACTCCTTCTTCAACTCCTTCTTTGCCCTTAGCCCGGCATCATTCCAGTGGATCCCACCACGGTTCCAAATCAAGTACTGACGGTGCTTAGCGGAATTTTGGATATGCATGCGCATGCCAACTTTTCCACCACGGATCGTGCCCTTGCACACTGAGCACTCAATCGTGTCAGGCTCGTCCTCCTCGTCATTCTTGAACTCATTTTCATTGTTCGGAGGGGCAGGCTCAGGTCCTCCTGCCGGCGAGGCCGGCCGCTCGGAACGTCGTGCCGCCTTCTTGTCAGCTGACTCCGACCTGCCGCTGTCGCTGGACTCGGGTCGCGAACGACTGCGGGATTTCTCCTTGCCGAGCTCCTTGCTGTTCGTCGCCATGAACCTGACCAGGACCAGGGAATACAAAAAACTTACATTGAAATTTTGAGCAAAAAAATATACCCATTAAACAACAGGCGGTCCGCCAACTTAACACCTTCTTTTCTGGCCCGCAGGCCCGCCCGCAGGCGCTCAGTCAAAGCCCACAGGCTTGTTCGGCCCGCAGGCCCGCCCTCAGGCGCTCAGTCAAAGCCCGCAGGCTTGTTCGGCCCGCAGGCCCGCCCGCAGGCGCTCAAAGCCCGCAGGCTAGTTCGGCCCGCAGGCCCGCCCTCAGGCGCTCAAAGCCCGCAGGCTAGTTCGGCCCGCAGGCGCGCCCTCAGGCGCAAGAATCATTTAACCCGGTGATGCACGGATGCATTCCCCCAGGACCGAAGCCCGCAGGCTATGACCCCGTCCGATTGTTTTTTTTTTCATTCCGCCACTGCTTACCCCCCCAGAAAAATTGCCCTGTGCGCCTTGCAGGACCACGGGGCTGCTCCAGGGGTCACGGCGCCAGATTTTGAAGGTCAGTCAGCTGCGGGCTCATCGATGGTGTTTCGATGACATGTCAAAGATGAAAAATGGGGTTCTCTTATTATGGCTACAATATAGCTAAGTTGACTTATAACTTGGTTAATTAAGGTCTATAGGGAATATAACTATAGGTAATGGTGTTTATAAACCAACTTACAACTGGGGGGCATCACCTTGTATTTTTTTCATGAACTTGAATTCTTATCATTATTATCGTCGTTAGTGGTGCTAATTAATTGGAATGTAGATATCATAGTGTGTGGTGAGGACAAAGCAAGAGTGGTTTGGAATGAAAGTATTGAACATCAACAAGCTGATTCTATTCCTATGAAATTCATCAACGCCGGCTCCGACTTCCATCCCTCCCGGTATTGCAAGCCAGAAACCTTCAACTTGCATTCGCACAGCTGGATAATGCCCACGTGGTGCTTGGTGCCCATCAAGCTTCCCTTGGTGATCTCTGAAGGGGACATGTCCCCGTGCATCACAAAATCATGCACACAGGACAAGACCCACTCCCGCGTCTTCGCCGAGGTAGGCTTCGTTGCCAAGCAAGCCAATTTGGACATCATGTGAAAAGGGCTCTGTGTCCCGAAGGAGGCTTCCATATCAAGCAAGAGTTCAACACAGCGGGGAGAACTCAGCACGACTCTTTGTACACTCAAGGCACTGCTGATGAAATTTGCGGATAATGTTCCACATTCTTCATCATCCTTTTTGGCTTTCGCGGACCCACTCACCACCTGCTGAAGACCTGCAGCCAACAAAGCCGAAGAGAGCTGGCTAGGTGTTAGCTTCGAGCTGCTACCAGATTCAATCAGCGCCTTCAGCTGGGCCACTTCCATGGCACTTTGCAAGGCTGTCCTAGAGAGGGATTCGTGTTGTTGGACCACGGCCTGCCGCTTGTTCCAAGCTGTTTTCCACAAGTCGCTCTGCTGAATCTCATTGAAACTTGCCGGGACGCTCAGCAACACAGATTTCCATTTGCTTCTCAGCTCGGCCCACACTGCGCTATCCAATGCTGATGAGAGCCTGCAGTTGCAAATCATTAACAACAAAATAAATAGCCAGTATAAAATTTCGCGAAACAACATATTCAAAACAGGGGTTGGGAATTGAAAATGACAGCTTTGGTGCAAGACACTTGATAGCCGAAGCACAGGCGTGCAAAAGGCTGTGCAAAAGTTCTTCTGGGCTGATCATCTGCAAATTCCGAGGCTCATCTGTCAGATCCGCCTCTGAACATGCGATTTCAATCATGCGATCCGTCATGAATTTTGGCTGCGCACCTGGAAAATGAAAAGCGCTCAGATCTTCAACTCTCTTCCGGCTCATGGGGACCCCTGGGGTCGCACTGCTCAAAGCGTTGATCCAGAATGCAGACACGCTGCATCTGTAGACAGAGTGCTGCTTCAGGGATGTAATCCCCTTTTGACGATCATATACATCCTGGACACCGCTCTCTTGGCCGCAGCCAATCGGCAAACAAAATTCGGTTGCCAACTGCGGTCCAAAATGTTCAAAGATCGTTGCGAGGTCCTGCTGGACCAGAGCGTAGTAATGCTTGTTCGTCGCGTCGTTCAATTCAGCATCTGACACAGAGTCTCCCTGGGAAGGCACAGGGGCCTTTGCTTTGGCCTTTGCGCTCCCTTGACTTTGCCGAGCAGATTTCTGAGCAACCGCGTTAGCGGCAGTCTTTCTCGACAAAGCCGCTTCCGCTTTCAACTTCTGGAGGGCCCTTTTGACAGTCAGCTCCTCTTCCCCGTTTGCCACACGGGTTTTCAACTGTTCTTCCTCTGCTTTGTTCAATTTCCATGAACTTATGTTCTTGAGCTTTGGAGCCGCAGCGTCCGACATTGCTTACTATTGACAATGAGGAGGAAATGACTTTCGACGGGACACCCTGGTGATTAAGTTAAAAGCCGAAATGCTAAAAGTATTGAAAATGCCAGTGTCAAATGACATCAAATTCAGCGGTACGAGCGTCAAGCAAGATGGAAGCCACCAACCCGAATGCAAGACCGCCAGGTGACAATGTCAAAGGTCACACGGGCAATGGACATGAGCTTTTTTGAAAGCCAAGCATCAGTGACTGCAGTCTTGCGACGAAGGACGCGGCGTCCTCGCATCATGCATAGTATACATTTAATATTTAATATGTACTGTAGCATCTAGGTATAGTCATCTACCGTCGGCATTGGTCATGAATGTATATATATATATATGTGTATGTATGTATGTATGTATGTATGTATGTATGTATGTATGTATGTATGTATATGTATGTATGTATGTATGTATGTATGTATGAATGTATGTGTGTATGTATGTATGTATAATTATTTCACGTTTTGTTTACAGCGTTCCTCAATGATGGGGATCACATTCTGTGTCGTCTTTATTTCTCAGCGACGACTCTTCCATTGGTAACGCTTAGAGGCAGCAACGCCAGAAGCACAACCTGCGAAGTCCTTGTGATTGTCAAAACCCAGCATAGTAGGTAGCAAGAACAGCGCCAACGCCAACGCCAACAAGAGCAGCACCGAGGACAAGAAGGAGGACGAGGACGAGGACGAAAACAACACCAACGCCAACACCAGCACCAGCACCAGCACCACGACCACCACCACCACCACCACCACCAACAACAACAACAACAACAACAACAACAATAACAATAACAACAACAACAACAATAACAATAACAACCACAACGACAACCACAACCACAACGACAAAGACGACAAAGACGACACGACACCAACGACCACGACCACGACAACGACAACGACAAGGACGACAACAACAACAACAGCAGCAACAACAACAACAACCAGACCAACCCCACAACCACAACCACAACCACTGTCAACTAAGAAAGAAGATAATCCGTAACCCCGTGACACTCATCGAACGTAACGTTAGGTCGGGTAGCTTGATGGGTGTTGCCCAGGGTCCTTACCCAGAGGCTGCCTAGGCAGCCTTCGGGTAAGGACTATGGGGCAATCCAGGTTCCATAGACGCTTGCAACGCAACCCATATTCTTTAGCCCCGTGCCCATACCCCTTACCCAGTGGCAACCCAGGCAGCCTCCGGGTAAGCACCCTGGGCAAAACCCATCATGTTACCCAAGCGAACGTTACAGCACGTCAACGTTCCCATAGTCTTTACCCAGCGGCTGCCCAGGCAGGTTCCGGGTAAGGTCTACTTTGTCGACTGGTCGCGACGTTTAACCGTTGCGACGTTTAACCGTTGCATTCGGTATGTTCCATGATATGTTAAACCATCGTCATCATGACATTAGGTTAATGTCGTGATGACGATGATGGTGTTGGGTCTGGATATGATGATCATGACGATGAAAATGATGATGGTGTCCATGATGTCAATGATTTTGGAAATGGCGATGATGATGATGATGATGATGAGGATGATAGTGATGATGATGATGATGATGATGATGATGATGATGCTGATGCTGGTGATGGCGATGATGATGATTGATACTGCATGAAATCAGTAATGCTCAGAAGCCGAGATACAAAGCGCGCCAAATCTTGGTTTGCCGTATTAAACTGCACATCCATTTTTTATCACAAATCCTGTCTTTGCCCTCACCTTTTGTACTTGTCAAAGAGCTTCTTGCTCAAGTTGACGCTCGCCTCACCCAATGGCACTTGCAGCCAAAAGTCTTTGCCGGAACCCAATTTGGTTAGCCCACATGCATCCAGCGCCCACCTTAAAACGGACATCAGAACATTGACGGACATGGCATCTCCCAATGATTCATCCACCGACCTCTTCGGCAAGCGATGTAGCTTGGCTGCCTCTGCCATGGCCTGAAGGATTTGAGGCGGCACCCCTTGGAGCTGGGCGGCTTCCGCCAATGTCAGCCTTCTCCGAAGTTTTGGTATGTAGTAGCCAGCGGCCTTGAGCCGTGACTTTGTCAGGCATGGGGAGAGGTTGGGCATGACGCTTTGAAAGCGCTGCGAAGAGCCCACGTCTAGTATGTATCCTTTCTGAAACAAACGGTTTCCTAACTTCTCTTCGTAGAATGGAAGTGAAAGCACTTCCGTGCCGACTTTGTCTTTCTCCAAAAAGAAATGCAAGTCCGCGTGTTCTGACCTGGCCGGTGGAAAGGACAGCTCATGAACTAGGGACTCTCTCGCCACGGCGATCAAGTACATACGAGACCGAGAATGTGGGATTGTGAACTGCTTCGTGTTGAGCACGCGGATCTCAAAACGATAGTCCAGCTCTCGTAAAATTTTCTGCATGAATTGAAAAATTTTGCTGTGTTTCTTCTGCAATATGGCTGCGACCTGTTCCAAAATAATCGCCCGCGGGCGTTTCTCTGCTATGTACATCAAACCTTGCAGAGATACGAAGCCTCGGTCGTCCAAAACTCCACGTTTTTTTCCAAGCGTGGAATATGATGGGCAAGGGTACCCGGCAGTGTACAAATCAGCCCGGGGTGCCGCAGCATTGTCGCGCCCACAGATGTCAGCATAATGAGAAACTTTGCGTGTGCCAATGCCACAAGCAGCTGCCACCGCATCGTGCAGCATCATCTTTTTCCCGCATGACTCGCAAGTCATTACAGAATCCACCCGTTTTTGAAGGCCGAACAACCTGAGAGCAATGAGATCTGAACCATAGCCAGAGCAGTCCGAAGCACATCTAATTTTGCCCGAGGAGTCCGCGGGAGACCACAAACCCAGCCGAGCTTTCCATGTCTTTGCCAGGTCATTGATGCGGGAAACCGCGCTGCGAATCCTGATTTGATTGTTGCCAGTATGGCTTTGGGAAGCCTCGGCCCTATGCTTTTTTTTCGTGTGAGAGGAAAGCACTTTCAAACGAGGCATGGCATCTACGAAGCTACCCCGCCTTGAACTGCATGGCTAGCAATGTGAGAATGACCCAACTGCAGTGTCTGTCCACAAACCTTTCATGAAAACAAGAGGGATGACAACAAAGTCCTGAAGACTACGGTGCAATAGCGGGCGCGGCAGTGAAGTTTCAAAGATAGGAAACGTATAATATCATAGGAAATGAGGAAATGTTGAAAAGGTAGCTGCGTCTCTGAATCTCTCAATAGGCGCGCGGTCATCAGGTCTTTGGCACAGGCTTCCAAATGAAAAAAATCATCTGTCCAAGGAAGTCTGAATAAATTTCTCTTTCTGTCACTGCTATTGATATATTTCAATAGGCGCCTAGGCTAGGCGCGCGGTTCGCGCGCCTAATTCAAGTTTTTGGTACAGGCTTCCAAATGAAAAACAATCATCTGTCCAAGGAAGTCTGAATAAATTTCTCTTTCTGTCACTGCTATTGATATATTTCAATAGGGGCCTAGGCTAGGCGTGCGGTTTGCGCGCCTAATTCAAGTTTTTGGTACAGGCTTCCAAGAGAAAAATGTATCCCTGCAAGAAATCTGAATTAAATAAATGCTATTGATATATTTCAATAGGCGCCTAGGCTAGGCGCGCGGTTCGCGCGCCTAATTCCAGTTTTTGGTACAGGCTTCCAAGAGAAAAAAATTAGGGTTTAGCCAGCGCCGAGCTTTGTGGATTTAGGGTTTAGCAATGGCAAGCGCGCAGAGTGTGTGGATTTAGGCATCCCTAGAAAATTAAAAAGGAATATGCAAACTTGCAACAATGATCAGTACTGTCGAAATCTTTTTTCCCGCCGGACTAATACCCCATACCAGCAGGTTTTGGAATGACAAATTGTCTCCCGCCAGGGTCTTGCCAGGCGAAGTCAAAGTCCCCCGCAAGCTGTGCCAGTGCTGATCCAGGCACTTGACTTGACATCTACAAATTTCTGAGCAGCCCAGGCAACTAGCTCATTGCCATCAAGACACTGAATCCTGGACTTGCCCAGATTCAGTGCCTCCCCTTTTGCCCGTAAGAGCAAGCAGGAATTCTTGGGCCCTTTGCTCCGAGCCTGCAAGTCATTCATTGTCACAGCCTTCCACCCATGAGCGCACGCTTCGCGCAAAATCATGGTCAAGCCAGGCTCTTGATTTCGAAATCCATCAGTCACGTAAACGAACACACCAAGCTGACTTCCAGCACTGTATGACAGTTTCACTCCGTTTCCACCGTCAAGAATTGCCGCAGACAAAATGACCTTACCGAACAAGGCTGCCATGAGTTGATGCTTCCGAGGGATCGTGTTGATGTCCGGTATGATCAAAAGAGACGCTTGCCTCAGATCCTTAGTGTCTGAAGCCACAGAACCACATCTTTGTGATGATATTCTTTACAAATGTGACTGCTTAAATTAATGTGAATGCTTTAAATAAAACCAGGTACAGCCAAGGTTCGCCTGTCAAAGATACACCACACTGTCTCAATGGGCTAGTCCAATCCTTCGCCGCGTCAGTGTTTAAAGCCGGGCTGGGCAATCCCTTCAGCGCCCATGCCACAGTCTTCTTGGTGATGCTGGCTTCCACTGCAGCGTGCCTGCTGTGAAAATTGGACTTGCGAGCCCGGTCATTGGAAGCGTCTGCTTTCCTTTGTTTCTGAGCCTCAGCAACTACTGCTTCTGTCACCTCGGAGTTCAAAAGCAAGCCATCAGAATAAGCCTCAGCTTTTCGCTTCTTCTCCAATCGACTCTGTTGCTCCACTTCTTTTCGAGAACTTTCAGGCAAATCATGTGAAGAAATCTTCCGGGGAGGCGTAATCAACTGAGCCGCAGCCTCCTCCACAGCTTCCTTTCGTTTTCGCATCCAGTTCTTGTGGGATGACGGTCTCATTGGACCTTTGCGACCGAAATCTAACCGCTTCCTCCTGCCCTCAGAAGACCGGGACTTGCCGCTTTGGCTCAGCCGTGTGTAGATGGCTCGAGCTTCCTGCAGCATTTCCTTTTCCGGCGCTTGGTCCAGAGTGCACCCCATGGCAGCACAGACCCTTCGGTCCGTATCTGCCTGGGCACTTGCCAATTCCACTGGTGATCGTTTCAATTTTGAAAAGAGCTGCTCAACGCCGGAACTGGACGCTGACCATGCCAAGAAGGCGCAAACGACCTGATGAAGAATCGTCATGAACAATTGATTGCCAATGATGTCAAGGCTATTGTAAAAAATCGACTAACATAAAATTAAACCAAAACTTATTCCTACTACTTGTCCCAGCGACGCGATATAAAGCATCTTGAGGATATTTCCCCTTGAGACGAGAATCTCGTATGCGCAACAAAACGTTCGCCCACGCCGTGCGATTGTCTTGTCCTGTCTTCTTCTTCATTGCCTGGGCCATAGGCAGGATTGCAACATACTGTTGCGTCAGGTCTGCCAGGTTCACCCCGAAGGCGCACGCCAGACGCGCCAGACTCTTCTCTACAGTGCGCTTGTCGCTGTCACTCATGCTCCCGCCGAGATGAAAGACATCAAAAGCGCCAATGAGGTGCCACGACGGAAACTCGGCCTTCAGAGTTGCTTCTGCCCCACACACCCATTCCTGGCGACGAAGGATGTAGACTGGTTAATTAAAAAGCAAGTATGTCATACAAAGTTTTAGTAATAATCCGTAAATGCATTGAAAAAATACATGTTGATGTAATGTATATTCAATTCTCATGTGAAATATGGACCGATGTGAAACGCAAATTCTTTCCAAAATTCTTTCATAACGTTCATAGCCCGACGCTTGTCACAGTCTCGAACTCGCACTTCTCTTGCCTGTCCAGCAATGAGAATGCTGAAAGGGGCCCGTGTGCAAGAATCCAGCAAATCTTTTGCAAAGGTAGGCAAAGTGAATGCCTCTTCCTGAAGAAACAATGCGTGAGTGCTCAAGAGAAACTGCTGCGCTTTGGTGTTGAGAAGGGAGATGTCGCTCTGCTCGTCGTCGCAGAAGCGAGTGAAGTCCATGGACGTTGCCGCGGCATCTGCACAGAGTGAAAGCAGGAAAGCTTTGTAGCCAGAAAAATGTGTCAGAATCTGGGACGCCCAACGGCCTGACGAATCCCGAAGCAATGCAATCTTATGCAAGAGGGTCAGCACACACCTCATGTTTTTTGTCACCCGTGACAGGGGATGAGCATAGCTTCCGAAGCGATGCTTCGCAGCAGCCATGCTGGCTCCAGTTCCTCCTTCTTCTGTACCCTTCCCATCTTTTTCAAGAATTTCATTCCACCACTTGGTGTACAGTGGACTATGCTGCACCTTTTGACAGAAGCTGTCCTTTCCTGAGATGAACTCATCCATTATAGCCTCTAGCTCAGCGTGCTTTTGGAAAGGTCTCTTCAGCAAGCGGGTGCTCGCATGCGCAATGTCACGGCCAACTATCTTAACATGCGGCAGCTCCTTTTCACATTCACCTGTCAGTGCAGATGGGCGTTTGCCTCGCAAGACATTGGACGCCAGCTGCTCCGCAGAAGCTGCATCGGTTACCAAAATGGTAGTCCGCTCGCGGATCCTCTTCTCGACCGAGTCATCGTATGCTGGAAGCTCCGGGTCAAGGCAGGAACGGGGAGGGTGGAGCATCGGCTGGCACAAATCATGGATGGCTTCGACAGTGCAGTTGGCCAAGCTTTCGGAAAAGCCTTCGGTGGGCTTAAGGCCAAGCACTCCCTGAACGACCCTCAGGTCTGGAAGACATGCTCGGAACCTTATCAGAAGCCTGCCTTTACGCTCGTCCCTCAAGAGAGCAATTACTTCTGCTGTTTTCAGCCAGCGACGATTCATGTCCAGTATTGCCTCGGAAATGGACCAGCGTATGTTGGTCTTCTTGTCGGAAGACACACCTCCATCTCTGCAACTTCCACCTTGTTGCATCTTTGTCCAAGCGTCCCGGAACTCCGACAGAGGCGGCGCCAACAGATTTACCCGCGAGTTCGTCCCATGCTGGAAGCTTTGCTCTGCCAACTTGTGACCCTTGGAGTCTTCATGCCGCTTCAAGCAGTGCAGTCTCAAAGCTGTCGGCTTTAAGTCAAAGTTCGCCCAGGGGCCTCCAGCGTCAAAAGCAGCACAAGCTGCACAGCCCACCCTTGCCACTTTCCCTTTCAAAGTCACTTGCAGCCATTTCGCATTCCGCAAGCGCTTCCGCCAGCTGTCCTTCTCCTTGTGCCAATGACACAACCCGCAGCGGCCAGGCTTCAAAGTGCAAGACCGACTGTGCTGGCTAATCAGTTTCGAAGGAAGAAGCGTTGGCTTCCCCATGGCGCCTTGTGATAAACTGAAATAAAATGAACCATGCCATATTAAATCCAATATTGCGTGAAGAATAATGATCCGTGATTGATTCTTGTGTGTTCAACATGTGGCCATTAATTTGTCACCCCCTAATTTCAATAAGCCAGAATGTGCAGGCAAATCAAAAGGAAAGCAGTGATTGTCACGGGACATGCAAGACCATGCTAAGAAGTCATAATTCCCCTTTAAAGTCAATGAGCCTGCTGCCATTTATTAGCTAACAGCCCGCAGGCTACGGCACGCATGCCTTGGCCCGCAGGCCTGGCCCGCAGGCACTGACCCGCAGGCCCGCTCTCAAGCGACATAAAAGCCCGCAGGCTCAAACCTTAATAAGTAAATGACCTGCCACAAACCTAACTCAAGCCCTGGCTTACGACTATTACAGCGAAAAAAAATCTGCGTTTTATCCCGCCAGCGGCATCGCGATGCACATATATATTTCTAAAAACTCAACCATTATGGCCCCTTGTCAAGAATGGTACGGCCCAAATGGTTCAAAACTCGAGGTGAACCCAAGCTTTCATCTTCATTGGACTCGGGGGTGCTCAGAGATGAGTCCAACATTGACAGAATCTGCCGCAGCAGAAACATTGTCTGTCAAGCGAACGGCAGTTTCAGCCACAGCAGCTTGGCCGCGTTCGGCGTTGCCTTCTGCCAGAAGTGCACATGTGCGCCCAGCGTTTCCTGATGCCTCAGCATCAGAATGCCGAAGCTTGTTTTCCAACGCATTTTTTTTCTCTTCGCACACGCGTGAAATGTGGTCCCACACTGCACGAAGCTTGTTGTGAGCTTTCTCCAGGTCACGCTTGCAGTCTGCCCAGTCAGCTTCCGGCCCAGGATTTTCTGCCAAAAGGTCGTCCAGATCGTCTAAGGCGATAACTGCTTCTCGGGCTACGGTGTTCACATTGACCCACCACTGGAATTTGTCCAGCTCCGACTCAGGTCTGCGAGCCATGACAGTCGGGGCTATGTAATGTTGTCACTGGTCTGAGCCTGAACCAAAAACTACGATTGCGACCGATGCTAGGCTCCCAATTCCAAGCTCGGAAAAATCGGCACCACAACCTTGACAGATGCAAAACAAATAGTGAAAAATAAAAGATATGCGGTCAACACTGTCAACATCTGGTTTCGCACTCCTGTCTCTTTGTATGCCCACTTCTGTTTTGAAATTTGGAAATATCACAGAATACAAGCAAAACCCGCACGAGGCGGCTGGCGGAAGTTTCCAGCAGCAAAGACTGTTATACTATAGGAAAGACAACGTTTGCCTATAGGAGTTGGAGTGAAGCCTCACGTCTTCGAAACTCTGCTCTGAAAATTCGTTCTGATCTTGCCTCAGCCCTTTTCAACTGTGACCACCACTTCTCAGCTCTTTGCAGCTCTTCTCAGACCATCTCAGTTCATGTGAATTCTTCTCCCAACTCTTCCCAACTGTTCTCATTTTTTTCATCTCTTTCCACCTCACCTCAATTCTTTTTCATCGCTTTTCATCTCTTCTCCTCTCGACTCTTCTCACCTGATGCCTCACCTCACCTCAACTCTTCTCACCTGCTGCTAGAAGTAGAGAAGGCGTTTGCTTGATGTGGCAGCCCCCCTGGGGCGCTACGAACCCCACACAACAATCCACAACAAGACAGCAAGACAAAAAGACAGCAAGAACAAGAACAAGAACAACAACAACAACAGCAGCAAACTTAACAATTACGAACCACGAACCTGACGACAACAACAACAACAGCAACAACAACAACAACAACAACAACAACCACAGCAACCACCACCACAACAACAACCACAACTGGAAACACAAGAAACACCACCCACAGCCACAAAAAAGCAACCAAGCAACCTCTAAACAACACCAAGTTGTGTGGCAGGCGTGGCACTTGGTGACATCAACGTGCGTTTCACGTGGCAAGCGTGGCACAATCTCACAATATCTCACATCCACCTTCGTTTTGCGTGGCAGGCGTGGCACAATCTCACATCCGCCTTCGTTTTGCGTGGCAGGCGTGGCACAATCTCACACACATCTTTGTCACACACCTTCTGTCACATACCATCTTTGTCACACACCATCTGTCTCAAAGTGTTGTTACACACCATCTTTCATACAATCTTTGTCAACAATTCTCTCACGCACATCTTTGTCACACACCATCCTCCTGCCTCCGGCTTCACACTCATCAGCCTCTTTCACACACACTTCGTCACATACCATCTTTCACACACAACTTTGTCGCACACCGTCTGTCACATACTATCTTTCACAACTCGCTTTGGCTCAAGCAAATTCATGTTTCGTTTGCCATGTTTGCCGGTATGTCTACCTAGCTGTGTCTCCGGCCTGTTTTGGCATGTTTGCTTTTCTAGCCTGTTTAGCTCAAGCAAAAGCGACTGGAGCAGAAAACCGTTTGGACATCAAATTATTCATTTCGTTTGCCGGCATGTTTACCTAGACATGTCTTATGTTCCGGGACGTTTCTTTCATCGGCCTGTTTTGGCATGTTTGCTTTTCTGGCCTGTTTAGCTCAAGCATGTTTACCTAGCTGCGTCTCCAGCCTGTTTTGGCATGTTTGCTTTTCTGGCCTGTTTAGCTCAAGCATGTTTACCTAGCTGCGTCTCCAGCCTGTTTTGGCATGTTTGCTTTTCTGGCCTGTTTAGCTCAAGCATGTTTACCTAGCTGCGTCTCCAGCCTGTTTTGGCATGTTTGGAATCTGGCCTGCTGGTGTCTTCGGATGGGCAGAGATTGACTTTACGTGCCAAGCTGCTGTATGACCCAGTTATACCCAGTTTATCTTTGTGTGCCCGTGGTGGAAGACGGCAAAGTCTGTCCATGGAATAAGAGTGAATAAGCTGGCTTTCGCGGAAATCTGCGATGCTATTCAGCATACTAGCGTATAAAGTCTCTGTGGAAGCTTTCTTATCTGCTGTTTTGGCTGCCGGCATTGTTGATTCAATGTGGGAAGACATGCCAAGCAGATGACATTGGAACGCACAGAGATCCGGAATGGCTTGGCGCAACGTGCAAAGAGCCCAATCTCAGTCACACTGCGTGCGGTTGACATATATGCGAAAAGACTGCACAGTTAGCGTCACAACTGTGGTCGCCGTGACACAATGGCCGTTTGGATAACATTGGAGGATCTGTTTAGATTTTGACCCAACGTGGGAAGAAATCGCATGGCGAGCACTGACATTTGAGCGCTGGTCAAGAAAAAAGCAGATCTGCAGTAGCTTGAACTCCTTTCGTCTTTCGTCTTTTGTCGTGCTTTGCATTTTGTCACTACAGCAGTGAACTTTTCGGGCACCTTTCTGTTCTGATCTCTTCGACATCTTCCTGTGACTTCTTTTTAATTTCACTTTCCTGGGGCCATGTTCTTTGCACCTGCAACCTGTTGACTTGTGAATGTTTCTGTAGCCTCAAGCAGGGTCATTCCCTAATTTGGTACTTATATTTACACAGTCGGCGCGCTCTTCGGCAGCTTATGGAGTGGCAACAGCTGCAGATGTCGGCAGAGAGTGAGGTCTGGTCTCTGATTGAAACCTTAGAAGATGCTCGACGCAAATTACATATTAATCAGCAAGAAATACGATCAATTTCTTCTCGTAATACTGTAGCTGTGCAGACCTACTATCGAGTGACGCTTGAGCGTGTGGACGCTTGCATTGATATTTTGAAGAACCTGCATACGGAACTCTGGCGGATAAATAATGCTCCTTTGTGGGACCTACACCGATGCTCCACTGGAGATGAAGGTCGGCAATGCAACGCAGGAGATCCTGCGACAGCCAGCGCATCTTTTGTTTGCTGCCGGACTCATGGTTGACTCAATGTGGGAAGACTGGAGTCGCGACGTGCAAAGCGGTTGACATATTTGGGAAAAGACTGCACAGGTAGCGTCATAACCATGGTGCTTGCCACTTTTGGAAAGATGAAGAAACTGTGACTGTGTCGCAACTTGACAGGCATGCACTCTGTGTCCAGATATATATTGTACGTGTCTTTCATAGTTGCGTTCACAACCAGCTACATTCGTGTTCTACACTTTTGCGGGCAGGTACCTTTCCTCTATGTCATCATCGTCTGATTCGTGGCTGTAGGACAGGCGCAGCTGTCACGTAGAACATCTCGTTGCACCACATGGAGCACAGAAGATCATGGCACACCTCATTCCGCCCATTCCAGGTCCGCAGTGATGCCGCATGCCGGGCAGATGACATTGGAGCGCTAGCGAAAAAAAATTCTCACTGATGTCGCACTCACGTCACTTTCACACACACACACACCATCTTTCACACACAACTTTGTCACACACATACATACATACATACATACATCCATGCATACATACATACATACATGCATGCATGCATGCATGCATGCATACATACACACATACATACATACATACATACATACATACATACATACATGCAGTCATACATACATATCTGCATGCATACATACATACATACATAAATACATACATACATACACACATACATACATACATACAAACATACATGCAGTCATACATACATACATAAATACATACATACATGCATACATACAAGCATACATACAAGCATACATACAAGCATACATATATATACATATATATTTACATATATACATACATACATACATAAATACATACATGCATACATGCATACATGCATACATGCATACATGCATACATGCATACATGCATACATACATATACATACATGCACATATGCATACATACATACATGCATACATGCATACATGCATACATGCATACATGCATACATGCATACATGCATACATGCATACATGCATACATGCATCCATGCATCCATGCATCCATGCATCCATGCATCCATGCATCCATGCATCCATGCATCCATGCATACATGCATACATGCATACTATCTTTTCACATGCCTTCTTGCTTTGTCACACACCATCTTTCACATTC